TGTGATCCAAAAATTCTTTAAGACATAGACTTAAATCCGGTTACTTGACAGATTTCTTAGTTAAAATTATCCGATGTATTTTTTTTTAAGTTGACTAGAAATTAATCTAGATCAGGTGAAAAATCAAAGTTTTATAATCATACGATTTAGAATTATCGCCATATTGATAAAGTTTGATTACGTCACACTTTAGAACTGGACGAGAGAAAAATCTCCTTTTCTCAAAAAAGAAATTCCTATATAGTCTTCCGATAATCAAAATCTAGAAATCTTTAATCTTTAGAAATCGTTGAAAGAAATATATTTACTATATAAGATAATATTTCTGTCAACAATGCTGATGTTGACACGACTTTCTTTTTTATCAAATATACAGAGAGTTTCAGTAACGATATAAAATTATCTAAGCTATTTTTCACTATTTACAGTTCCATAAGCTGTACATAAAGTTCCATACTCTTGATACTGCATGTTGCATTATGGGTAAATTGTATTAAAAGCAATATAAATACATGAGTTCGACTTCTCTTTTATATTGTTAACAAATCCAATTATAAAGAGTGAAACATACAAATAAATTGACATTCCTGCAAAACAGCGTACATGTATATTGAAACAAAAAGGGCTATATTTTCATGGTTCTGGAAAACAGTAACGAGAAATAAGCGATTGGGAAAAAGGAGATGTCTCGAATTATTAGATTCAAAGAGATAAAAAAGAAATAGCCTAGCCTAATTATGTATTTATCAATGAAAATTCACTGATCTGCTGTAAAATTTACCAACAAATACATGGAATAAAACCAGCGTTTGACGATATCGGGATAATAACGCCATCAATAATAACAATTATGTGCAAACGACCTCCGCACATCGAGCTGTTGAAGCTTCCACGTAATTCAGTAGGTCCTGGAGGCTATTAGATACACGTCGATATACAGCCTCGTTCTGTTAATCAATTTAACGCCATCCATTAATAATGCCCCGCCCACACTCTCGATTGCGCGTCTCTCGTTCTCCCCGAATGAACAGCTCTTATTACACAATAATAGAGCCACTGAAAAGTTATCAGTGTTTATCAAATGAGTGGTTTTTTGTGTTTTTTCTTCAAAACTTTTTTTTTTTTTTTTTGGTAAATAATATCCTCACTCTTGCTACAAAACAGGTTCTCTCCTGCAGCAATTTGGTTTTGTAACAATACAATTTTCCATTTCTGCATTGTAACATTCCTGTTTTCAAAAGTGAAATTGTTAACATGTCGAAGTTCATTTGATATCCGATCACGTGGTCCCCAATATGATAATATCCGTGTTGTATATCGACAGTTTAGAAATCCAGATTTTAATCACTACTCAGGGTTTCTGTAGTCGTAATCATGATGTTATTGGGAAATATTCTATTTCTTTGTCTACCACGAATTAGTATAGAAGCTTGTTAAGATATCCTGTCATTTCGTTGATAATAACCTGCGTCTCATTTTTAGGTCCTGACATTTCTTGTATTGGCCTGCAATTAATTTTATAACCAGACTTAAATTCTGTGTTCAAATCTTATAACTTGCAAGAACTGAAAGGCAGAAACAAACTTATGAATTATCAAATTTGAAACGGAACACAGCCACACATCTACAGTAACTGAACATTTTAATTTTTTTTCTCTTTCTGTAAGAACGAGCGTGGACTAGTAACACGTAGTCCTAGGATTGAGTCCAAGATAAGACACTAAACAAATGACCTTTGTAGTGAACTCGCAGCTTTAACGAGTACCGGTGTTGAGACAACATCAGTTTCGAGCCATGTTCCTGTCCGACAGCTGACGTCAGATAGACAACCTATCTGATTGGCTGCCATCGACACTACCTAGAACGATGGTGTTTGAAAGACAGTGGAATTGTTTGATGTGCACGTTTCCAGGTTCTTCTGTGGGGTCTGGATGACAGCCTGATAGATATACTCGTTTAAAACAAATTTATTTTTTGCCTGTCCTTTTTTTCCATATTACTGGATGTATTGATTCGAGAATTTGGGAAAGTTAGCAAGAATTTGTAATTAATGCCAGTTTTAAAGTAGGCCATAGAAAGTTGTCTGAGTGTCAGCCAGTGCAATGTGAAGGGTATTTAACGGGAGGTTTAAATACTTCATGACAGTATGAACGCAAATTATGAACTCCTACATGAATGAAACAATTTACGTAGGTGAATTAAGTTCGTTTTTTCTTCCTTCTGTATAATTTATAACGTTCACCCTTGAAACAGGGCCAGTGGTTTTCTTGATTATATGTATAAATTATCCAATTAAAAGATGTTTTTAAATGAGCTACTCTTATCGCCCTATAAATACCGATAAATAAATAAAATGCAGTATTTCTTTCAAATCAAAATGAGGTTATTTTTGTAACATGTAGCCATAGTTTCGTAAACTGACTTATATCAAATTAGCTGTGTTGTTTTTACGTTAACATATTGAACATCCTGGTAATTATTCATGTGTACTTTTCTTCATCGTCTCGCAGCTTGAATCAATACTTGACAGAGTTCAAAATTAGTAGGTCTGCAGCCATTGTTTCGTAATTAAGTCTATGCACGACACTGTAAAATAAAATATAGCCTCCAGTTCGTAAAATTATGCGTAAGAACTGAGATTTTTTCTTCGTTAACGGGTATTAAAACCGCAATCTTTTCAAAAAGAAAAAAAAACAGTAGTATAGAATTAATCATTAATACATTAATGAATCACACGTGTAGATTTCATAATTAGGGAATCAATTATCTTAACTTATCAGAAATATACTCCAGGTGGCCTCAGGTAAAAAAATAAACCATATCTAACTATGTCTGGGTGATACGCAGACTTTCAAATTATCTTACCAAGGTCGCATGTGTAATGGACGTGCACCGAATCACACATTCGGGTTATGCATTGGTGCAAACATGTGCTGGGTAACGAAACTCATAGTTTTTAAAATAAACGAAAATAGACTCTGCGTATGCATTTCACCATTACAGTCACTTTGGATTGAAATTTGACTTTTATGTAACAGGGTAATACAAATTATTGCCATGACAACGAAATATAATCCTTTGAAAATTGAAATGTAGTGATTTATAACATTTAAGTCCGTTTGATGTCTAAATGCATGTTTTTATCAGACACTGTGATATGTTTTCTTGCATAGTTTTAAATGACAGTCTGAGTAATGATAAATGCATAACCCGATTCACATTTTAAGATAATGAGTTTAGCCATTTCTTTCTCCTCCACCCCCTTTTCTGTTTTTACAATAATATCGAGTCAAGCATTTTTGGGCTTTTTTTCTCTCTCCTGATTTGTTATGAAACGTACAACGTGAACAGTGGAGACAACTTCAGAATGTAGCCGCATTTTCGTATCTCCATTTACACGTTTCACCTTTTGACCTTGACAAGCTCAAACATTATCTTGCACGTGCTTTACATGCACTCTCTTCTTTATCAATTGATCAGTCGACATCTTATCCTAAACAAGCACTTGATTTTAGACCTTTGGATACAGATAACGTGTACATCGTTTGAATGAAACACGAGGAAACATCGTTCGTTTATGCAGAGATTTGCAAGCTTTGAGAAGATTATTGTCTTCTACCATACCACTTTTCGAGAGAAAAAGGCAAACACAACACGGTGAGTGCCGTTTGAGACAACATTACCACGTAAAACGCTCGTACAAAGGTTACATTCTTCAAGCGATGAAATAAGACCTGCTTTTTGTGATAAAGCTATTTAAACTGTTTTATAGATTCATTTAAAAAAAAAAAACAAGCCCAAATTCATCGTGCAAATCTGACTGAATACCAGGTACATGTATTAAGGGGGCTCGGTACATAGATATTCTTTTTCTGATGTGGTTCACCCGTGCAAAATAGTTACTAATACGAACTCTAGTGTCAAATGCCTTTTTTTGGTTTATGTGAATCTGGTAAAAAAAAATGGTACGTTAAGAAGGGAGGCAATTCTTTCTCCAACTGTAAATTTACTGATTTAGGTTACATACCACCTTTAATTGAATTACATGTAACAGAGGATAAATTCTTCGATGCAATATTGACCAGTGACCACTTCCTTATTAAAAACATAACAAGGGAGGTAATTCTCAATCATCTATGCATGCATTGCTAAAGATAGCATATCACCTTGAATTGATAAGAGCCTGATATTTCATGAGAGAAAGTATATCCCCTATAGCCATGTCACGTGTTGCGACACAGCATGCATCACGTGGTTTGTGACCGGGTTAACCTTCATTTTGAGGAACAGACTATTTTAATGAGTACACTGGCGCACCTAGTCTACCATAAAGTGTAACTCATTTTTATATTACGAAAACTCTGTCTTTATTAGCTTTTCAAGGTTACATCTCGAAAAGCAATAAAAAGTTGAATGTTTCCCGTCGAGAATATGTTGAAGGGTGATTACTAGTAATATGCCATAACGCTGGAAACGCGACATCGCCAGGTAAGCGATGAGCGCACGAACACAGGCTTTAGAAGATAAATTTTTGGTTCTAAAGTATTCTGTATACTAATTCTGCTATTTTATATCTGACCACTGATCCATAAATAAGTGTTCTTATGCATACTGAACTTCTACTTCAATAAATCATTTATCCTTTTCATGAATTTTCACGAAAAAAGTGCCCTTTAGTTTTGGTAAACTGGTATTCCGCTGCTCAATATCACCATTCCTGATTCCGTGTCACATTTCACATGATGAAATTGATAGCATCCATAATTGGCCAACACTACTAATATTAACTTAAATCCACAATATTCATCGCTGAAGAGCATTTGGGAAACTATATAAATAAATACGTATTTTTTGACGTGCAAGTTCTGCAAAGCTTAATATGTTGTATGTTTTAAATTATCGATATCGAATAAAGATTGCATTGCATTGCATTGTATTGTATTGTATTGCATTGCATTGTATTATCAATTTTTTCTGATATGTTGATATTTTTCATACAGAGAGGCTGACAGGATCGGTCAAGCTCAAGGATCAAGAGCTGACCAAATTATACGGTGAGGTCAGGAGTCTCAAGGACACGATACAGAACCTCAAGGACGACTTCCGTAAAAAAGAGATCGAACTACTGAGAGATTTAGACGTGAGCAACGAAAAATCGGAAGTAAGTAATTCTATCTAAATTGTAACTATTTTTTCAGTTTCATGAGCTATTCGTTGCTTTGGGTTCGCATGTGATTATACATATGTCTTTTCAAGACCAAGGCCATCTTAAGAACAAATATTCCGAGATGACGAATTTATAACGGAGGTTGATTGATGTCAAGGTCGAGAATCCGAACAAAATGACAGGGAAATGAAAAATATAACAATTTCGTATCGCCAATTAAAATGTTAATGTAGATAAATATTACTTTATATATTTTCCCATTTAGCACGCACTAAACTTTGTTGAGCGAGGTGTTTAAATAGAGTCGCACTTTGAAATCATTCCGCTGTTGTCGCGAGCTATACCGTATTGTTTACATTAACATGCCTGTTAGAAAAAACAAACCTACGGCTATTTCTCTTCAACAGTACACAAATAGTGAAATCTCTCCCGAAATCACCTTTATTTACATAACAAATTCGATGGCATACTTCCAGAAATGCATTTATTTGCCTGAAGGACTACTGACACACTCGGGATGTGTGGGATCACCCTGTACTAAAGCCTCCAATTATCGTTTCATGGGTTTGTTTGAAAGTCAGGGCGGAACTGTACACAGCGCTTAAACGTAGAGATACATACACGAGAATTACAAATAATGATATATGGTAGACAGTCACTGTCTATTACAATGCCAACACCTGAAAGGTACCTGTACGGAGATTTTCACTTGCCGGATTTCGGAACATTCTCGAAGTTCAATAATACGGTTCTCTCCATTCGGAACATTCATTAACGACGGTTTTTTTCATATAGTTTAAGAAAAACACGTGTCCATTAGGTAATAACAAATATTTTTTTTCGAAATAGAGAAATTGTCTGTTTCAGCTCTACAGGTGATTTGTAGATTTTGAAAACAATTGCAACAAAATCAGTATATCAGTATAAATTCATATTTTTCAGTGGATAACGACTTTCTGAATTTCACAATTCCAAAGGTTCACCTTTCATAAATCTTCAGGTTACCAACCGTTTTAGTAGGCGCCTGATCTTGACGAAACATATAAGGATGCTAACATTATGAGTGTTAGTGTGTAAGGCGTCTGGTGGGCTTTATCACTAGCATTCCACCTCTGGGTCACGGGTTCGAGTCATACGTGAGGTGGTCGCCTGGTAATGGCGTCTGGCGGTCTTCATCACTAGGTCGGTTGCTGTAGGTTGTTGGGTTTCTCCGAGATAACTGGCTTTCCTCAACCACCCTTAAATGGCACCGTCCTGCTAACAGAAAACATACAAGCAAATCAAAGCCCCCGACATTTCAGTCCTGAAGCCATAAGTCCGATGGCCATTATACCACTCACTATGAAATATTTCTCGTGTAGTTATACCCTGTTTGAAGCCACAAAACAAAAGAAGGCTGTTTGGTAGACTGTATGCTTGTTGTGCTTGTGCAATAAACCAATGCTAGTGCTTAGACAGGCTAATGGTGACATATTATCACGTGGCAGTGATGTCTGAGGAGAAACGACGCCCGAATTGTCTGTCATGAGACATTTCCATTGGGAATATGCCATATTATTTGCCATTCTTGTCAGGCCAAATAAAGACGTAATTGTCTTTTTACGAGAGATGACTAGAGTAAATCATGAAAATGCCAAACCAATAAAAAGGAATTGTCTTTTGAACAATGTAAGAACAATACTGTTGAACGACCAATTTTCGCGGGAGGTTTTTTTCGGATAGAAATTTGTAAAATAGACTTTAAAATTAAGATTTTAAAATAGACATTTTGGAGGTGAATCGTTTATGATGAACATCTGTATGATGATATTGTATATATAATGCTTTTATATGAATGATATATGGTATGATCTTGCAGTAATATTACAATTTTGACAAAGAAAAAAATTAATTTAAATAATTTCATACTATTAATATCAATATATCGTGTCTGTTTCCTAGGCAGGGGAATGGCTGATTCTATGCACTCTAGCTATAGAACACATGGAGCTAAAATTTCAGAAATGGTGATGATGACAAAAACATAACTCATACAACAAAAATATTTTCAGACTGTACTTTAAGTTGAACGTCGCTAGAGAAGTCAGAAATATGACTATAGATGTAGGACGACCATCTTGTCATTTATTCAAGGGGCAACGTCGAACCGAATCTGATTTCAATTTTAACTGATACTGTAGAACAGGTATCTTATTAAGATATGTAAACTATGTCACATAATATTCTAAATATCTTTTATGATAAATATTTTTATAAGTTGTCATATTTAGAAATCTGTAGCAGATGTTATATATCTCACGTAATTTAGAAAATATATAGTTTGAAGAAACACAGGATCGAATTATCACTTGGTATAAATGTTAAGTTGGCTTGGCATATAGAGGAGTATTTTCAAATGATAATGTGTCTTGAAATTTATCATTGCATACTTGTTTAAACAAAGATATTTAAAAAAAAAAATGTTTTCACTTATCTATTTAAACAGGCAGCTACGTTTAGAAGATTTATAAATGCTTTTCTTACGAGTCGCATATCTAAATTAAATTCGTTTTTGTCGCTGATCACATTTCTATCACGTTTTAAATAAGTACACCGTCTCTCCTGGGCCAAAATCTATAACCAGATTCTTGACATGGCATTTACTCCAAGTCTTAAAGGTGATAACTACACGATCTAGTAATAGATAGAGAATTTTCCTGACGATTTCGTCAGACGATATCCATCACTACACACGAACCGGTAAGCTTAATAACATAGGAAATTGAATTTTAAACTGCAATGGTTTCAAATGATTTAAAGATTTAAAAAAACTGATTTCCTGTAAATAATATTTATAATTTCATTAAGCAAAAACCTTTAATCTTATTCTGAGTCTTTTTTAAAAAAAATCTCAGTATGTGAACAATTTGCATTTAGCTCTGGGCAGGTTGATGGATATTAAGAAGCTGTTGCACAGTAAAGCCTGATCCTTACAAGAATTGTGTACATGACGTAAATAAGAAACCCTTGGTTCCATCGTGTTTCCATAAACGAAGCAATTTCGCGATAAGTTTGGTACCTGGTGGATGTAATTAGCTACCTGGACAGGTGCGAGACAGGTGTGGTCCAGCTGCCGAAATTCTTAGAGAAATATCTCGCCAGAAAGTACCTTCCAGTTACTATGGATACGAAACCTTCTGTTTATCTTAGATAATGTATTTCTGGATAGAATGGACGGGGCGGGAAAGTGATAAAACTGTTTTGTGGCAGAAGTTTTGATCTTTCATATTGGAAAGTTAGATTTATAATTCCCCTACAATTTCAGAATGATACAGTCAAGTTAAAGTAAAATGATATCTGAACAAGTGATATTATTTGGCGGGACTCTCCGATTCCGACAGGAAACGTTCGTCACAACTCGGTTGAATCCGTAAATACCTCTATCAAGGTTACCGGAATCTGCCGAGGTTAGCCGAATGTGACAAAAAGGTCATATTTATGATATTTTTGAAGGCCATTGAATATGAACTGATGTTGACACGCGGAAAAGAAATATACATTTTGTGCCACTACCCAGTGTTTAAGACTTTTATTGAGCAAAAACTAAGCAAGTTCTGCTATCTGGAAAGCTTTGATTCGAGAGATTGGCGTGTCTCGAATACACCATTTCCCAAACCACTTTTAGGAATCTTTTCGCCAAGTACACACCCACATTTTATACACTGTTATACCTAGAGAAGGAAACTGACCGAGATTTAAACTTGTTACGCCCGAGCTCTAAATAGACACAGGAACAGCTTGAGCATCCGTTGGTTGACATCCCGTCTTGTCCCGCTATACATGTACATGTATATCTTTCTGTCATTGGAGCAGCCATTGTCGGAATACGCTTGCCACATATATTTGTGCTGTATTCGGCAGTGACGGAAAACAGCTGTATTTTAGCAAGTACATTATCGGCAGAATAATTTTATGAATTTTACTTTAAAATACGTTTAACAATATAAACATTTTAAATAAGCGATTTTATATGTTGTAATGAATAATTTACGAAAATTCATAAATCGCGGTAATATCTGTTTAAGTTTGGAATTATATTTCTGCACGGAGCAATTATTTTGGCGTACGTCATCATGCAAAATTCAGCGTAACGTCAATGTCAGGTAAACAAAGATTGGACAACAAAACTGTTGGTGTTTTGGTGGTTTGGTTTTCAATCAATGTTGCAGGATGATTAGAATACATGCCAAGTGTCTTAAAATATAAGCTTAATTTTGGCTCGAGACAAGAGCTCGCCACATTTGTCTTTCTACACCCTCGCGAAAATACAGCTTATATTTGAAGACACTGACCATGCATTCTATACAATATAAAACCAATTGGTTTTCAACACAGCGAACAAATGAGTATAACTACCTCAAGTGGCTAAGTATATGTTATGTCATTACGAAGGTAGGTTCCGATCAAAGTGAGAATGGTAAATATATGTGCATGAACGACGGATGGCGGCAGGAAGCTCTCAGGACCATGTATACACCGACGAGATTTGAGTGATATGGAAGACGGGCGCAAAAGAAATTTGGCAGGTGCTGTGTTTCAAACCGGATGGTCTCGATCTGCTGGAATTCATTCCTTTCTGTATGACCGCCTTTGGTCTAGGCTCTAAGTTGGGGCAAAAGTTAAATGGATAAAGTCGTTGACTGTTGATATGCGCTGTAAGTCGGTGATATATCAGTTCAAACTCAAAGCACGGTACGAAAATGTCTTCCAATGACAGAACTTTAGTTACCAAATTAGTAATCCGATGGGAACATATTTTTTTTATTGACGATACTTCAAAGACAGAGATATTAACCTAAAGTAACGTTTGATGCATAACGGAAAGAATTACGAGAAAAAACTCGCTTTGCATTACATGTGTGGTGGCGTCAATCAAAAAACGTCAAAATGTGACGTAACAATGACGTATCGTGAAACGAATTTGAAAACATTCGGAAGAAGTCTAATTCGGAATG